AACCCAGTTCCCTTTCGGTACGTCTGGGGAGAGACGGTACTCTCAACGGTCCACTATAATCGATCAAGTGTTTACAATAATGAGTTTGTTACTTCACCGTTAAACTCACGTATCTCTCTTCTTTCCTTTGTTTCAGGTACCACAAAGAAGAAAGACCAGAAACTAATTCACCTCAGTTTCAACCACAGATGCCTTAACCCAGAAGATGAAGACGAAAGCCTGAAAAAACCCTTAACCGTGTATCTCTGTTTCTCTTCTCCTTCTCTCATTAATTATCTCTGCTCTCTCTCAAAGTCTGCAACTCCAAAAAAGTTTTATATATAGCTTTGAGTAATCATGTGGGCCTTATACCCTAGCCCAACATCAGTTTCTCTTGCACACTCTTGTAAACACACGTATGGACTTGAGCCCAAAAGAATAAAAGCTTTGCCCAGATAATGTGTAGTTGACCATTATCTTCTCCTTTGGTTTTATCGACAAACTCCACACAAATCAACGGTCCAGATCATTTTATCTTACTACCAATTTAAGAAATGGGTTTCTAAAGAAAGACAAAAAGATCAAACCTGAGATCGCTGCCTGTGCATCATCAGTCATCATCGCTAATTCCTTGTAATCCAAGTTTTCATCCACTTTCTCTTTTGCTAACAATGTTCTTAGGATCTTCTCTCTGTTCTCTACACTCAGATAGTCCCACCATAATCCTACGATGCCAAAGAAAAACAAGGTAAACCAAGTCAACCGAATCAAAATCATTTTAATCAAACCACACATGACCTGTTTAAAAAAAATATGAATTTTATAACACGTAAAATGCTTTTACTCCAAAATCTGAAACCAAATCCAAACTGCTTTCTGAAAAATAAGGATACTTTTTGAACCGAACCCAAGCTAAAACCATAACAAAACCGTCCTAAATTTGTTTTCTCGTAGGTTACTACTATTTCTAAATCCGTAAGTCCAAAAACTTGAACTGAAGCCCTTAGCTTAATTAATTATCCAATAAATTATAATGTCGTGTATGATCAATATGTATAGTACATGTGTTGTATGTACTTAAAAATGATTATGAAACGTTAATTTTTGTAATAATATAAATTATACGGATTTGAATCTATAAAATGCCAGATGGTAATATTAGTAGAAATTACTAGACTATATACAATATTCAATTTAGCATTACATTACACATTTTATACATGCAAATATCAAAGTAAGTGCCGAATTCATTCCAAATGTAATTGTGCAAATTAAGTCACCAAAGCCAACAAAGATCGTTGGGGTTACTAGAATCACAAGGCCTTTAAGTAGAGAACCCCCCACAATGAGTCTCTTATAAGGCCCGTTGTTATTTTCGAGAGAGCAGACCGTTGAGTTTTTGGGAAACTTAAAGCTTTTTTTCTTCTAAAATCATCAATGGATTTTATTGATAATCAAACTTTGAGGTAGACAAAGCTCTACCAGAAACTAAACTGACGAGTTTATAGAATTTCCAAAAACAAATGCCATATAAAAAGGAGTCAACTGAACGTAATCTTATATATAAAAGACAATCAACTTTCTCCATATGCTTGACACATCAGTATTGGAGAAGTTGACACCTGTCAACTAAATTTTAAATAATAAATTTTAATATTAAATTTTAAAGTATTTAAAGAATATGAAAAGTTTGTATTAATTAACATTTATATAAGCACTTAAAGAATATGAAAAGATTATATTAACTAACATTTATATTAATGTTAAACAAAAATTTATGTTATAACTAATTAAAAATATTGATGGATATATATATAATTTTTATATAACTGTTGATTATTTAATAATATTCAAGATGTTAAAATTCATTTTTAAGATTATTTATAATAAAATATAACAAGTAACAAATAAAATGATGGTTATATTAATTTTAATTTTTTTTATTAATTGACTATTAATTAATATTTGTTAACTAATTAAAAATATTGAATGATATGTATTATTTTTAATATAATTTTAAAATATTAAATAATATTCAATATATATTTTAAATTAATATTTTAAAAAATTTTAGAATAAATATTAACAAGTAAGTAAATAATAAGTGATGATTATATTAATTTTTATAAAAATATAACAAAAAAAATTGAAAATTTTAAAAAGAAAATTCTGCACGTTACGTGCGGGTATTCACCTAGTAATACACAATCCATGAAGTCCGAACACTGACGTAATATACTCCCTCCGTTTCACAAAGAGTGTCATTCTGACATTTTTCACATTTATTAAGAAAACTATTAAAAATACTATTTTACCCTTTATTAATGTATTAAATAATTTTTTTCTCTAATTAATACATTAAATCAATATGGTTAAAACTGGAATATTGTTTAAAATTCTGCATTGAAAATATAAAACGACATTTTTTGTGAAACAAAAATAAAACCTTAAAACGACACTCTTTGTGAAACGGAGGGAATAAAAAACTAAGACATTTCACGATTTTTGCAAGCTCGAAAGAAAATTACCAAATTAAGAAGAAACTGAAAAAGACGAAATGAACAGAAATCACAAGCAAAAATAAAAATAAAGAGAAATTGCAAGTTCCAAAGAAAATGACAAAAAGCTAACAAAGAACTGAATGGATGAAAATTTAATAGAAATCACAAAAAATCAAATTATTGAGAAGTTGAACCTCTCAGGTTTTTACCCTTGTCTAAGAACTTCAAGAAGATTACAATAGTAATTTAGGAAGTGTATCATATTAACTCTATCTTCCTAATTTAATAGATGAAACATTTAGGTCTGAGGAAAAAAATGAAACATTTAGAAAATGTATATCATATTAACTTTAACCCGACAAATTGTACGATGAAACAAGATTGAATACAATTGTCATACTCCCGACAAACAAAATAATAATTTCTACACGGTAGATCACTTTAGCTTTTAAGAACAAAGTTGATAGAACTATTTTCATCATTATGTATGAATTATCAAGTCGGAAGAGACAAAACATGCCCAAACTTAGGATCTCAAATTTATTATAAGGTTTGTAAATGTTTCAATTTGTAAGGATATCAAAACAATAGGGTCCCAAACAGAATAAGTATATATATAAATGTGGATCCTTTTTCTAATTGTTTAGCCTCTAATAAATTATACGGTCGCGCATTATCCTATTTGATTTTCTTCTCCAGAAAGCTAATAAATGTTATAGAATGATAAGAGGAGAAAAAATGTTATAGAATGATATGAGTGCGTTATCTTTTCTTTAACCGTATGTGATAAATAAATTAGTAATTCACGTACGTACTAACTACTAAGTATTCAATTTTGTGGTCCAAATATAAATTAAACGTTTTAAAGGGTTTAGTTTGTGGCCTGAAATGAAAACGTGTGACCCACTAATTACAAAAGGATAGACATTATTTAATTTCCAAAATTGGAGGATAATTCAGATAATTAAAATGAGTACGTACTGACTTTGTGTGTATTTTAAAGAAAGACTGGTTACTTATTTACTAGAAATTATGTTTATGGGCTGTATCGATTCCAATGATAAAAATTAAGAAGAATATTTTTGGGTGCCATCGATCTTACTCATGCTCTACTCATCATATTGATAACTTAGTTTGTAAGTTGTAACCATTTCTATGTCGTGTGCAAAGCTAATTTGGAAATTGTGCGATCATCTTATGTAAACATGGTGGATCATGTAACGATCTCTTCAGTTATGTATCATCTGTTTCTTTAGGGGAAGCTTGAAGGAAATAAAAATTTAAAAATAAAGACGAAGCAGATAGTGTAAAACAAAGAGACGAGTTTGTTTCATTGTATAGTAATAAAAAGAGAAAATCCATAGCGAGAGACAGCTCCGATTGGAAGCACATTTCTAGTGGATCGTCGCAATTATTTTCGCAAGACGTAAATATTTACTGTATAACATACACTTCTAATTCTAAATTTTCAGAAAATTTTCTAGTGGTTGCGTCCGGTAGCATACACTTCTAATACTAAATGTATGTGAAAAACTTTTATTATTTAGCGTTCAAAGAAAACTCTTCTTGTAACGAGAGAGATAAATTTCCTAAATCTCGCATATTGAAAAAAATTAAAGGACCTCGGGCAGATAAGTCCACTACCAACATATAATATTTGTGAAATGCGGTGTTCGTATTTTGTAAATATATCTTTTGTCTTATTTAATTTAATGTATTATACTTTTTTGTATGACATCACAACAATTAAATGTATGTATATTCCACATAAATAATTTTCTTAAACACAGCATAACTGAAAAAGAGAGGTAGCGGTGGGAGGATGTGAGATTAACAGAAATATAAATTTTTTATTCTTTTTTAGAAACAATTAAAAGCGCCTTTTTAAGTAAACAAAAATTTAATTTATATTTCAATTGACATTTGTCGCTCAAACAGAATTTAGACCTAATTCCTAATTTCAAACATTAAAAGTTAGTGCTATGTTTTTCAAAAGCAAAAGTTAGTGCCATTTTAATATTAAGTTCGTTTTGTAAGGTAATAAGTGAACTGTTATAGATTGTATATATATTCCAATACTTCCACATTTGCATAAAGTAATAAATAAGTATATAAAAATAGTAAAATATACAATATCCCCTCTTTTTTACTTAAAAACGCTGTAAACATATATGTAAGAAAAAAACCATTGTACATAAGAAAATTCCGATTTTTATATATAACAAAAGTCATATATGTAAAATATATACTAATCATGATGTCCAACATTAAATAATTAGTCACCGTACATGAATCAGGCATTGGGAGAAAATAATACAAATTCAAAGTGATCCTCGTTATTTTTTAATAGCGATAAGAAAAAGAAGGCTTATTAATATTATAATTTATATCATATAGAATATAAACCACTGAGGTGTATAAGAGACTTCTTCAAAGTTCAACTTCAATTTCAACTTCAATTTCATATATTATTGAAGATACCTCGACATATTCAATCTATCTTCTCTCTATCTCTCTGCCATGGCTAGGGTTTTTCCTCAAGCAGCCATCTCTTCACCGTACATGAGTACGGAGAGAGAGACTTTCACGGTTTGGATGAAATCTCTGGTTTACCAAACTAACGGTTTAACGGTTTACAATTCCAACGGAGAGATTACTTACCGGGTCGAAAACTACGACAAAGCTACCAATGAAGTCCACATCATGGATCTCCATGGCAACATTCTTTTCACCATCCGCAAAAAGGTAATTAAAAATTCAATCCCGTATTCCAGTTCGATCCGATTCTTCTTCATTTTCCTTGATAATTACCGGTTTAAGTTCCCGAACTAATGAATCATTTCTAATAATAATGAAACGAACAAGTTAGCTGATGTTCTCTATACATTTCCAAAAATTTAAACTAAAAAGTAAAAAGTTAGTTGAAGTTTTTTTTTGGGTAAGATGTTAAGAAATTAGTTGAAGTTGGAGGCAAATTAACTGTAATTCAATGCAATGCTCTTTAACGATCATATATGCTACTCTTTAGAATTATTTACAAGAGCTAGTTGAAGTATAACTAGCTCAAAACAAAAATACGTCGAGAAAGTATAGATAAAAGACGTCCATAATTAAATGACTCTTAAGTTAATTCAATATTCCGCCGTGGAAATGAATGTTTTAGTCTATGAAGCTCACATGTAAAAAAAGTTGGGCACACGATATGAATAAATCTTATATGTTTTATAATTGTATTTCGTTTTAAATAATATTTGCAGAAATTATGGTTCTTTGGGAGTTGGTATGTGTATAGAGAAGGTGGGAGTTTATCAAGCACTGAGGAAGTGAAACCTTTTGTCAGAATCAAAAGGTCTTCAATTAGAGATGGAGATTGGGAAGTTCGAGATGAGACCAGTGAAGTCTTTTGGATTTTAAGATTTGATCCCAAATTTGCTTTTCAGATCATAGACACCAATGGAGATATCATTGCACAGGTAAATTTATAAATTTATGAATCACTATTTGAAATTGAAAGAGTATATAGTTTTTTTTTTTTTTTTTGGTCAAAGAGTATATTGTTAAATAGACAAACTAATTTTATAGGTAAAGCCAAAACAATCATCAAATGGGATTACACTTGGAGAAGATGTATTAACTTTGGAGGTGAAACCACGTGTCGATCACTCACTCGTTGTGACACTTGTCACTGTATATGGTTTAATTAAGGGAGTAGTCTAACTTTTGTTTGAATATTATAGAAAAAAATTATACACAAGATAGAAAATTTTCCAACGTTGATTGTGTTGTGAGAGATGTAAATATTTCGTTTTTGTTATTTTTCGCGAGCCCTTATTTTTTGCTTGTTTATAGAGCTTTGTTCACTTTTTTGACCATACAAGTAGATAATTTCCTCGATTGGCAAGTAAACAAAAGGAACAAAATATTAGCAACTTAACTCAGTTACATATAACCTTGCAAGTTTTAACTAAACAAAAAAAAAAGCAATTCACTCTGTTCAACTAAGCGATCAAATCCAAAACCAGACAAGAGTATTTCCATTAAATATCACAAAGTACTTTTGTATTACAAAGGAAAAATAACGATCAAACGATTAACCTAGTTACAACAAAAAGGATGAATGATTGGAACTTACAAATAGCAAACATAATTTGAAGTCTGAAATTTTCATGAAAAGCTTCGTTGATTTTGAGCACTATTCTTGCGTAAACAAGAAAACAAGTGTTTCAAGCAGAATGAGTCATATTTTTATAAAGAGCAGACATCACAACAACTTGCCATTAGAATAAGAGCAAATACGTTAATTCACTCTCACAGCTATTCTCTCCAAGATGATGAAACTGTTTTAAGAAAGCATATCGAGGAAGCTTTTGTCCAATCTCCCATCATATGACATATTAGTGACTAAGCCAAAGGTTGAAGCATCTCCAACGAACCCGCAACTCCTCATTTCCTTGATGAGTTCGGCGGATGCAGCCTTTTCACCATCTCTAAGGCATGCCCTGATCAACTTATTATATGTACCGCTATTTGGGAGAGACCCTTCTCCTTTCATTTTACTGAACAAGGCATATGCATCCTGCTTTAAGCCTTTCCTACAAAATCCTGAGATCATTGTATTGTAGGTTACAACATCAGGCTTCACACCTTTAAGGTTGAGGTTGCAAAACAAATCCCACGCATCTTCCACCTTACCAGCCTTGCACATTCCTTCAATGATGATGTTATATGTAACAATATTAAGTTCGATTTCACTCTTCTGCATATCCTGAAATATGACCAATGCTTTCTCTAGCTTCCCATTATTACAAAGCCCATGTAGCAAATTGCTGTATGTCACAATATCACGAGGCACGCCACTAGAAACCATATGTTTGAATATTTCTTGGGCGTTATCACAATCGCCAGCTTGGAAGTACCCTTGGATAAGGGTGTTGTAAGTGACTGTGTTACCAACAATTCCTCTTTGAGACATCTCCCTGAAGAGTTCCATACCATCTTCTACTCTCTTAGACTTGCATAATCCATTTATAAGAGTAGTATAAGTCACTACGTTTGGGAGAGAACCCTTGCTAACCATGAACTCAAACATACGTTCCGCCTCATCTAGACGATCGTGCATACAAAACCCGTTGATTAATGAACTGCAAGTGATAGTATCAGGATCTATAGACCTTCTGATCATCTCCTTGTATAATTCCTCAGCCTCCAAAAGTTTTCCCTCTTTCACAAACGCATCAATCAACGCATTGAAGGTGACTACATCAGGGTTGATTTTCCTCTCAATCATATCACTTAGTAGTCGAGAGGCATCACTCCATCTTCCGTAATTACAAAGGCAATTTATGAGAGAGCTGTAGGTAAAAACATCCGGTGTAACTCCTTTGTTCTCCATTTCGTTGAATAGGTCGAGTGCATCATTCACATCTCTGTATTTGCAAAGACCATCGATGATTGTGTTGTAGATCACAATATTTGGCTGAATTTTACCTTTCTCTATCTTCTTGAGGAGATCTAAAGCCAAATCCATATTGCCTCTCTTACACACTCCATTTATCACCGCACCATAAGTAAGCAGATCTGGTTGACATCCTTTCGCAGCCATTCTGTCAACTAAAGCCACAGCTTCAGAAGCTTTGTTGTTGAGAAAAAGTCCTTGAATCAGAGTGTTGAATGTGACGGTATTAGGTTGATATCCCATTTCCACCATTTGATCAAGCAGAGAGACTGCATCTGAAATCCTATTCCCATGGCAGTATCCATTGAGCAGCGTGGAAAGTGTGACAATGCTGGGCTCATGCCCGAGTTTCGTCATCTTCCCAAGAATAGCTAAAGCAAGAGGGAGCTCAGAGGTGCGGCAGAAACAGTTTATCAAAATATTGTATGTATAGAGATCATGTCGAATCCTCAGCATCTCCATTTGCTCGCCCAGAGAGATGACAACATCGTATCTCTTCATCTTAGCGATGGCACTCAACAATTTACTGAACTCAACAATGGAAGGAAAAGGACGAGACTTTACCATCTCACCAAACAAACCAATTGCATCGTCTAACTTAAAATCCTGCAGAAACCCATTTCTAATCTTCTCTCTGTAACCACAACTATCACCAGAGAAAGCTCGTACCCAGCAACGAAAACCGCAAAGAGAAAACGAAGAAGGAGAAATTCCAGGATTACCTTTCCCCAAAAGTTTCCGGTAAATAAATCTCTTCGCCGTCGATGCAAGTACACTCGAAACCAGTTTCTGCATCTTAATCGATTTGGGTTCCTTCCTTCTCAATCTCAGTCGCTTCAGGAGCTAATCTATCGTTCTGCAAATTGCAAAACCTTTACACGGAGATTTATCAACAATCCAGAGCGAGAAATGAAAACCGGAGGAGTTCCGGTTTAGAACTTAGAGCCAAGCCGGTTTAATAACGATTAAAGTGGCCAAGGGAACCATTTTCTTAACCAAACAAGTTTTATTTGGTGATAAAAGTTAATCGTCGAAGTAAACCAAAATGAATTAATAAATTGTTAGGGTGTGTTGTATTCACTTTGTAATTACCATCGTCATTAATCTTCTTTAATCAGTAAGTCTCGAACCGACAAGCAAGAAATAAGATTCGTCCATTTCTCTAATTACTTTGGTGATTATTAACTAAAGCAATATAATGAAATCAAAGAATTGTGGAGAAATTTGTGAAAATCTTTACTCTGCTTTTGGTTCCATATATGTCACCAAAAAAACTGATTTGTGTTATAACACATATCATATATGGACTCTTATACCGGCCCATTAGGCCCATCAAGGCATTGTACTTAACCTAGATTTCCTATGTACTCTATATATACATTCCAGTGATTAATAAAGTTTCTAAGTTTTCACAACACGTTATCAGCACGATAAGACTCTCTGAGCGAAAAACCCTAATAAATCCGGCCACCACCAAAACCCTAAAAGCAAGTCGAAACTTAAAAGACGCATATCTTCCAAACCGTGAGGAACCAGAAGACGATCTACATATCAAATCGAAGCCCTCGACGAGACGAATCTACTGGTGAAAACCGTTTGTCGATCCAACGTCGGACGCGCCCTCACGCACACTTACAGTACACGATGATCAACCGAAAAAAAAAAAAAAAAAAAAAACCAGATCCGAGTTTTTCCTTCTTCAACCAGCAGCTTCTCCAGTTTTGGTGATCAATCCTTAGAATTTGTAGCGGCTAACTGAGATCTATTAGCTCCCAGTTTCATTAGCCTGTCAGAAATCCAAAGGTGGAAAAGGTATCTTTTAAAACTGAGAGCCATAGAACCTGTTGTTTAAACACTTCAAAACCCTATAAATAAAAAAAAAAAAAAAAAAATCGATCTCTAATTGATTGAAAGTGTTTGATACTCTGATGATTGATTGATAACTTGTTGATTGATTGTTTAAATTACAAGTTTATGCATGTTCAAAGGTTTTAAACTCATTTTATAAAACCCTAATCTACAAAAACCTAACAACCGTTTTTGGCCATGTTTATGGCATAAACCTATTCGATTTTCTTCATGTTTAATAAGCTTGTTGCAGCTTATTTTGATTGTTGATTCTCTTGCTTGAAACACTTGATTGAATAAACTAAGAAAATCAACCCTAAATCCTAAGCTTGATTCACGATTTTGTAATCTTCAAAATCGTAAGTCATAATGCTTAAACCCTAGTCCTTTTCACGTGATTTCTTTGTTGTCCTTGTGAAATTATTAAAACCATCGACCACAGATCCTATAGATCTCGAAATCACATCCAAAATATGTTTTCCAAACCGTTAAAACCCTAGATAAAACCCTAATCATATTCGGCTCCCCTAGGGTTCCTCCTAAACCGCCTAAAACCGGCTAAACCTGGTTCTCATTAACCGAAATTATATTCGGCTTTAACCGATTAAATCACAGCTATTAAACCGACATCATGTTCGGGGTAACTAAAACCATACCCTTTAAAATTTACTATTTCCGAGAAAGTTCCCTCTAATAGAAAGTTTCCTCATATAAAAACTTTCCTCATATAGAAATTTTCCCGACATAGAAACTTTCCTCATTTAGAAAATTACCCAAATTAGAAACTTTCCAAATTTAGAAACTTTCCTAAAATAGAAATATTCTCAAAATAGAAAGTTTCATCATCAGCATTCAAAATTTTCTCAAAACAATCCCTAACAAAATCAATCTCATGTTTCAGATGTCAAACATTCAGAAATGTGAATTCGAGGCCCTTCACGTCTCCGGGGATAACTACCTCGAGTGGGCCCTAGACATGCGCTTGTTCCTTGCATCGAAAGAACTCGATGCGTGTATTACCGACGGTAACACCGCATCCCGTAAGGGACAGTCTCAGGCGATATGTCACATACGCCATCATCTGGCCCCGAGCCTTAAGCAGCAATATCTCACTCTTGAGAATCCACTTGAATTGTGGCAAGCGCTGAAAAAGCGATATGACCATCAGAAAATGGTCCAGTTGCCTCAGGCAGATTTCGACTGGAAGAACCTTCGGTTCCAGGACTACAAATCCGTAGATGATTACAACAACGAACTCTTTCGTATTGTTGCCATCCGGAAACTCTGTGGCGAGGATGTGACAGATAATGATCTCCTCGAGAAAACATTATCCACATTCAGCACAGAGAATGTTGTGCTCCAACAACAATTCCGTGCAATGAAACACACATTGTACGAAGACTTGTTGTCCTGTCTTCTCCTCGCTGAGAAGAATAACCAGCTGCTTATGAGGAACAGCGCTATGAGGCCCCCGGGATCGGCTCCTGTCCCAGCTTCTCGTCAAGAGTCCTACCATGTTCAACCCGATAGATCCTCAGATCACCGCCGTGGACGTGGAAATGGACGTGGTAATGGCCGAGGACATGGACGTGGAAGACGTGGACGTGGACATGGTCGTGGTAACCGACCTAACCTCAGTTATGGTCCTGGTCGTGGTCGAGGCATCACCAAGCCGACCCGCCACACCAACCCCGATCACTCTGCTTGTACCAGATGTGGGATGTTCAACCACCCAACAAAGCAATGTCGCACCCCCAAGATCCACTGCGATCTATACCAGAAGTACGGAAAAGCTCCTGCTGAAGCCAACATGACTCAGCCAGTCGATGCTGCTAACCTGGAAGGTGACGACCTCCTTGATGATGAGAACACCACAAACGAGCAGACCGACCCCATGGACTATGAAACAGCTGATCTCCTCGATTAATTCAATCATCTGAAACTCTGATACAATTTGATTTTGTTCTTTATTTTTTTCATTTTGGGATTTGTTTCATTTTTTTTCCATTTGCCTTTATTCTCAGACACTGCTTTACTTTATGATTTATCACATTTTCTGAATTCCTCAATACTGAATTCTATCTTCTATTCATAATGAATCACACCAGCAAATGGAAACCATAGTCGTAGATAGTGGATCCAGCCACACTATCTTAAGAAACAAAAGTTACTTCATAAACCTAACCTATCAAACCGCAAATATTAGCACCATCGCGGGTCCCTCAAACCTTATCGAAGGATATGGCCATGCCTATGTGTTGCTATCAAATGGCACACAACTTGAAATACCAGATGCTCTATATTCTCCTAGTTCGAAGAGAAATCTTCTGAGCTTCAAGGATATAAGACAGAATGGTTTCCACATAGAAACCCAAGGTCAAGGGAACAAAGAATCCCTCCTAGTCACTAAAACCGTAGACGGCCATAAACAAATCCTCGAAACTATACCCGCGCTCTCTACTGGACTTTACCATGCTAAAGTCAGTATGATTGAAGCTAATACCACTCTCAAAGCCCGGTTTACTGATTATACTATTTGGCATGACCGGCTCGGTCATCCCGGTGCAAATATGATGCGTAAACTAATTCAAAACTCTCAAGGGCATACCCTCAAAGAAAACCGAGCTTATCCTCAACACCTCATGTGCACAGCTTGTTCTCAAGGCAAATTGATCACTCGGCCTTCACCAGTTAAAATCTCTAAACAAACACTTCATTTCCTAGAAAGAATCCAGGGCGATATCTGTGGACCTATACATCCATCTTCCGGACCATTCCGGTACTTCATGGTCCTTATAGACGCATCGACCCGTTGGTCACATGTTTGTCTCTTGTCCTCTCGGAACCAAGCCTTTGCTAGGTTCTTGGCCCAAATCATAAAATTGCGGGCCCATTTCCCTGACTTCCCACTAAAGACTATCCGCCTTGACAATGCTGGTGAATTTACCTCACAAGCGTTTAATGACTACTGTATGGCCATGGGGGTAACCGTGGAACATCCTGTAGCACATGTCCATACTCAAAATGGATTGGCTGAATCATTCATTAAACGCATTCAATGGATAGCCCGACCATTACTCATGAGATCAAAGCTCCCGGCCTCAGCATGGGGACATGCAGTATTACATGCTGCTGAACTCATACGCATCCGGCCATCTAGTGAACACAAATATTCCCCATCCCGACTACTCTCGGGTCATGAGCCAGACATCTCCCATCTCAAAACATTTGGGTGTTCAGTATATGTACTCATTGCTCCACCACATCGAACCAAAATGGGACCTCAAAGAAGGATGGGAATATATGTTGGTTTTGACTCTCCCACCATCATAAGATATCTCGAGCCAACCACTGGAGATCTCTTCAAGGCCAGATATGCGGATTGCCAATTCGATGAATCGGTATATCCCTCTTTAGGTGGTGAGACAAACAAGCTGGTCAAAGATCTTTCATGGAATCAAACATCATTAAATTGGCAAGATCCTCGGACTCTAGAATGTGATTCAGAGATCCAAAAGATTATTCATTATCAAAAGCTAGCTAATCAATTGCCAGATTCCTTTGCTGACCCGACCAAAGTAACCAAATCGTACATCCCAGCTTGTAATGCACCAGTACGAATAGCTGTCCCAACGGGACAGATCCAAGTTGCTACAGAGTCTGCACAACGTCTCAAACGGGGCAGACCTCTCGGTTCCAAAGATAAGAATCCCCGGAAATCAAAGAAAGGTGCAATAACCGAAACCGGGATTCCTGCAATATCAGACATAGCCGCGGCTGAGACTCAATCTAATGAACCCTCAATGGAAGTTCGGGACGCCGAATCTCCAGGTTCAGAAGATAACAATGAGATCTCCATCAATTAAAATATGTCCGGAATACAATGGAATCGAAAAGAAGTCGACTTAAATGCACTCTTTGCATACAAAGTAGCACTTGATGTTGCGCTCACGCAAGAGGATCTAGAACTCACGTCAATAACACAGTGTACACATCGAACAGATTGGCTAAAATGGAAAGAAGCCATAAACGTGGAGTTAAAGAGTCTCAAACTCAGAAACGTGTTCGGTCCGATCATCCGGACCCCATCACACATCAAGCCAGTGGGCCACAAATGGGTCTTTGTGCGCAAAAGGAACGAACTCGGTGAAGTCGTTCGATACAAAGCACGGCTTGTAGCACAAGGATTCTCACAGAGACCCGGAATCGATTATGAGGAGACTTATTCTCCAGTGGTGGATGCAACAACATTCCGATTCCTCATAAGTCTGGCCATAAGAGAAAATCTTGATCTGCGGTTAATGGATGTTGTAACCGCATATCTCTATGGGCCCCTGGACAACGAAATATATATGAGACTCCCAGATGGCATTGAACTAAAAGACAAAAATGCATCTCGAGATCAATACTGCATCAGGCTGAACAAATCCTTGTATGGACTGAAACAAAGTGGGCGTATGTGGTACAACCGCCTCAGCGATTACCTCATCAAAGAAGGCTACAAAAATGACCCCATCAGTCCATGCATCTTCATCAAGAAGTACTCAAACAAAGGATTTGTAATCATAGCAGTATACGTGGATGATCTAAACATCCTCGGAACATCTGGTGAGATCTCCCAAACAGTCGACTGCTTAAAAGCAGAATTCGAAATGAAAGACCTAGGCAAAACAAAGTACTGTTTGGGATTACAACTTGAGTACATCAAAGGAGGAATCCTTGTGCATCAATCGGCTTATATCGAAAAGGTACTCAAGCGATTTAATATGGACCAAGCTCACCCATTGACCAGCCCAATGGTAGTTAGAAGCTTAAGTGATGACCCTCTTGGTCCCAAAAAGGATGATGAAGAAATCCTTGGTCCTGAAAAGCCATACCTCAGTGCTGTAGGAGCGTTAATGTACCTGGCTAGTCACACTAGACCAGACATATGTTTCGCCGTGAACCTCCTCGCTCGATATAGTTCATCTCCAACTCAGAGGCACTGGAACGGTATAAAACATATCCTAAGATACCTTCGAGGTACTCAAGACTTAGGACTCTTCTATACTAACCAAAATAAAGATGGGTTAGTCGGCTTCGCCGATGCAGGATATCTATCAGATCCGCACACTGCCAAGTCTCAAACTGGCTACGTTTTTACGCATGGAGGAACAGCCATCTCTTGGAGATCAATGAAGCAGACACTCACTGCCACTTCATCAAACCATGCTGAAATCCTAGCCATTCATGAGGCTAGTAGGGAATGCGTCTGGCTGCGCTCCATGACTCAGCACATCCGCAGAGATTGTGGTATGGACGAAGACACACAGCCCACGGTGATGTATGAAGACAACGCGGCATGCATAGCTCAGCTCAAGGAAGGATATATCAAAGGAGATCGGACGAAGCACATTCTACCGAAGTTCTTCTCAACCTCAGACTGGCAGAAGGACGGCACTCTCAGCGTTCAGCAGGTCCGATCCAGTGAGAATTCAGCTGACCTCTTCACCAAATCATTGCCTACTTAAACACACCGGAAGCTCGTCAAACAGATAGGAATGTATAGACTTAGAGATCTGCAGTGATGCTACAATCAGGGGGAGTAATGCGTGTTGTACTCTTTTTCCTTCACCATGGTTTTGTCCAACTGGGTTTTTCCTGGTAAGGTTTTAATGAGGCAACATTCCCCAGCGCATTATCGAGATCCCGATTGAGTAGCTGACCCGGTTCACTCATCCAAGGGGGAGTGTTATAACACATATCATATATGGACTCTTATACCGGCCCATTAGGCCCATCAGGGCATTGTACTTAACCTAGATTCCCTATGTACTCTATATATACATTCCAGTGATTAATAAAGTTTCTAAGTTTTCACAACAATTTGATCTTTATTATTGGTAATTTTTTATTTTGAATATAAAGCAAAGAGTTTTCTTTTACAGAGTAGAGAGACAACCATCAACAAGAGATGATTCAAATTTGATTAGAGTAAAATAACTAGAGAGTGTAATGCTGGGTTAGTAAGTAGTAACAATTATCCTTAGCCGCTAATAATAAAATATTTCTAAGAAACCCTGTCATCAAAGTTGAATTGTCAGTTTCATTTTAACGAAATTGGTTTATAGAATCTACTATTCTTATTGATTTATTTTTCCACCTTAGAACTTAAGAAGTAAAGCAATTTGTAGATCAAGTTATATCAAACAATAAAATTCAAAACGTGCTATCTCCAGTGACAACAATCGAAATTACAACAACAAAATTAGTTAAAAAAAGGAAAAAAAAAAAGGAGAGGACACATTAAGAAAAAAGACCATTGAAGAAATCTCAAGAAAATACAGGTTTTGATCCAATTCTTTAAACGGCAAGACCTATCTTGATACTTAAAACATCTTTTGCCAATTCTCCAAAAAGTTATTCTTGAACTCACTCGAAAGTCATTCCATCCAATTCTTTAATTGCAACACAAGACAATGCTTTTGCTCTGATATATAACATATTTAGAGGGATGTATATTTGCATTTACTTGCCTTCCCATATCTTCTTCTTGAGATCAAGAATGAAGCTAAGCGAGTCGAGAGACGAAGCAGAGAAGCACAAGCGACAACAACATTTCGAACACGAGCTTAAGAACATGATCTCCTCGTTAACCCACATGGGAGGAGCAGAGAAAGCAGGACCAAGCCACTATGAAGAAGAGGACAAGGAGGAGGATGGTGTCAGAGTCATCACGCTTTCTGGTTCCAACCTAGGAGCCACCATGAAGACCGAGCTTGACGATAATCATGGAGACAACAACAACAACTACAGAAATGGCGGCCACGAGCTTGATCTCCTGACCACATACGTTAACAGCAACTTTCAAGGTGTGAACAACTCTATAATGATTGGCGCCAAGTACGAGACTCATGATCCAGGCGTTCATCTTGACATCTCAGGCGATGTGGAGAAACCTTCGATGAAGACAAAAGCGAGGGGGACAAAGGGAAAGAAGGGAAAGTCTCATGCTCGAAGTGATGATCGTCGAGAATCTGAACATACAGACTGATTGGTATATCTTCAAGGACAAAAGCATTTTGGCTTCTGCATTAATTTCTGTTGTCTTCTTTAAATAATTAGAGAAGTGGTGCATGCCAAAGCACTTTACTTTCTCTTCGAGGTTGTTGTTTTTGCTTGCTTGCGCTTATCATTAAACATGTTTGATATTTATAACTCTTATTCTCAGTTTAAATAAAATGATTAACCACCTTAAAGAAATTACCTGCTCTTAAATCTTGAAACTTTGTTTCCGAAGCAGATTGTGGTCGATCCTCTTAGATATTTCGAGTTAACCAATTGCTCAATATGCTGGAAACCAGAAACTAAGTTGAGCATAAGCTTTCTTGCCACAAACTGACCTGCATTACACCTGAAATACAGAGATAGTTGAATAGAATGATCATAGAGAAGAACTTCTATGTGTAATAAGTCTGGTTCAGAGGCTGATATGTATTGTAATAGATAGTATAAATACAGTTACTTACTAATGGGAAAGGGTTTGTAGAGTTATGAGGTAAAATGCAGAGAGAGTGTTCTTGGAGAGAACTCTCTGGGAATAAGTAATCTGTGTACCAAATGATACAGTAAGTTTTCTTACAAATATCTATAACAATGTCGCAAAGATGCTACATTGGCTCTTCTGCTTTACTTCCCATCTTTTACTTGCTTATTCGTTCTCAGGTAGAAATTGATTTCCTCATCCATTGAGGCCAATAAGGAAAGAGATAAATTGATATAAACAAGGAGAAAGCACCCACCTACAGATTCAGCAGCAGACCCCAAACAAAGACAGTAACAATCTTCAACAGAGACATCAGAGCAAAGTGTATATCACGATGAACTAAAGAAATGATTTAAGAAAGCATATCCAACAAAATTTCTTAAAATTGGCCATCACATAACATATTCCATTATCGCAGTAATAATACATAAATAACATGGTAAATGTAAAAGCTAACAAGCACAGCGAATTTATGGAACATAAGAAACAAAATAGAAGCTCTGCTGCTAAGGATAGAAATGTGAATGATCTTGTATTCTTTCATTCATCCTCCAATTGGTGATCCTGCAAAGCAAACACACCAAAACAACCAGAAAGGTTAAATCTTTATCTTAAAATCAACATAGGTATTTAGTAGCAAACTTTCCTGGATTCTACCGAAGAAACTACAGCCAAGGGCCTCTATAAGTATGTTTACATTCTTCAACGAAACCCAAATAAAAAGTAAAATAAACTGGACAACAAAACAGAGTCTGAGGACATACCACACTCTTTCGCAGATCCTCCAACATTGCCAATGCCTCTCGTAGATTCTTCTTACTACATAAACCGGCAAGCATGCCGTGGAAAGTGGTGGTATCAGGAGCCACACCACTAGCAATCATTTCTTGGAAAATGTCTACGGCGCCATTATAATCACCCACATGACAGAACCCGTGAATCAAAGTGTTGAAAGTAATTGCAGTAGCAGCTATTCCTCTTCGATACATCTCGCAGTAAAGCTCCAGTCCATCGTCAAACTTTTTAGCTTTACAGTAGCCATTAATGAGTGTATTATAAGTCACTACGTTTGGCGAACAGCCCTTGCTAGTCATCGAATCAAACATCTGCTTCGCCTCATCTAAGCGGTTTTGCTTGCAGAATCCATCAATCATTGAAGAATAGGTGATAGTACTAGGGACTATACCTCTGTGGAGCATCTCCTCGTATAAATCTTCAGCCTCAGAGAACTTCACTTCTTTGACAAATGCACTGATTAATGAATTGAAAGTTACAACATCAGGACTGATTTCCCTTTTAATCATATCACGCAGCAATCGTTCAGCATCACTCCATCTACCATTGTTACAAAAAGCGTCTATCATGCAGTTGTAGGTAACTACATTGGGATAAATTCCTTTCTCGCGCATTTCAATAAAAAGATTTTGAGCATCAACAAGACGTCCATCTTCGCAAAGACGATCAATGATGGCATTGTAGATTACAACATGGGGTTTGATGCGGCTTTTCTCCACCTTCCTAAGCAGATTCAATGCTGAGACAGTGTCGCCCATTTTACACAATTCGTTTACAATTGTTCCGTAAGTAACTTCGGTAGGTTGATGACCATGTTCTACCACCATCCGATCAGCCAGAGCTACTGCTTGAAGAACTCGACCATCGCGGCAAAGACCATTCACCACTGTGTTGAACGTTATGACATTGAGTGCATATCTCGTTTCAACCATTAGATCAAATAACGCTAAGGCTTCACAGATCATATCTTCGAGACATAACCCGTGGAGCAGCGTGCTAAAGGTAACAACATCAGGCTGGAAACCAAGTTTGGTGAGCTTTCCAAACGTAGACAAAGCAAAGGAAAGCTTGGAGCAGCTGCAGAAACATTTTATCAGAATATTGAAGCTGTACATATCAAATGGAATCCGCCGCATTTCCATCTTCCGATAGAGAGAAATCACAACGTCGGGCCGATTCAACTTCAGGAGGACACCCATTACTTTGTTGAAATCAATTGCGGAAGGGATGGGACGAGATTGAACCATTTCATCAAACAAAACAATCGCATCATCTAAGGTTTCGAATAAAATGAGACCCACTTCTCAATTTCAAACTCTCTCCTCCAAAAGTTGCTTCGCCATCTCTGCAATGGACTGACAAATAAGGAAGACGCTTTCTAATTGTACTTTTCTTGGCGACGCGAGGTTGATGAATCGATCTCGTGCTGATCAATCTAGCAGCAGAAGATTCCGATCTCTATCTCCAAACCCTAGCCAACATTTTTGTTCCGCCTGATTTGAGATTTCTTCTCAACAGCTGAAATTACGAGTGTAAGTGTTGTTAGCCAGTCCAAACTTCCGTTCAATTTGATACTTTCCTCTTCTTAACCGAAGTAAAACCAGAAAAAATTAAACCAGACCCAAACCATCCTGTAAAGCTAAAGGAGTACTTCCCGCTTCACAGCAGATTGAAATGAAATTACCGGTTCAGATGAATTGATACAGTTTCCGGTTCAATTGGATTGGCTCTTTGACGGGTAAACACTAAACATAATAATCCGCTACGTTGGAAGAACCTTGCCATCAATCAGTACTAAATACAGTCTTTTAAACCGGTTTTACAAGATATTAAAACCTTTACCCCATTTCTCTGATTCCTATGGTAATTGGTGATTATCAATACATTGAACCACAAAAAAAAACAACATGCGACATGTTATCAGCTTATTATATGTGCCGTTATTGGGCAGAGGTCCCTCTTCTTTAATTTCATCTTCTTGAACAAATTATCAACTTCCTGCGTCATGTTGTGCTTACACAGACCCCAAATCATGGTTGTGTAAGTCAACACATCAGATTGCACTCCTTCTGCATTGAGCCTACGAAATAACTCCTACGCTTCTGCCACTTTATTATCTTTGCACCACCCTTCAATCATGATGCTATAGACGACAATGTTGAGGTCTATACCACTCTTCTTCAGATCCGAGAATAAGTCTGATGCTTCCTCCAACTTCCCCCTAGTGAATAGTCTGTGTAGCAAAATGGTGTATATCATCATATTATGAGGCATTTTATTAGAAACCATCTGTTTGAAAACCTTATAGATATTATTGATATCGTCAGCTAAGAAAAAGTCTTGGATAAGGATATGGTACATAATGGTATCAGCAACTCATCCTCTTTCAAGCATGTCATGAAAGTGGTTCGTTTCATGTTCTACCATCTTACATTGAAAGAATCCGTCTATGATTAAGTTATATGTGACCACATTTGGGAGGCAACATTTGCTAACCATCAGCGCAAGGACCTGTTCGGCCTTCTTTATATCAACTAGCAGACAATAGCCATTGATCAAAGCATTATAACTGTATACATCAGGAACTATAGACTTCTTGGTTATCTCGTCGTACATTCTCAAATCCTCTTTTTCCTTCTAATATCCAATCATTTACAAAAATAATATATTGGTTATAATTAGCGCAATTTTTGTTCATTTATTTTTTAAACTACCAAACATGGTTACTAAACCTTCAACTCCTCATTTCCTCTATGAGTTCAGCTGCTGCCTCTTCACCATTTCTAAGGCGTGCCTGAATTAGTGTCGTCTTTCATCTTTTTGTCGTTAAGTTGTTTTTACAGATACCCCAAATCATTGTTGTGTAGTTACAACATTAGACTTGAGTCCATTGAGACTGAGGCTGAGGCTGGAAAAAAAAACCAGTTCTTACACTTTATTAGCCTTACACATCACTTCAACCATTGCCTCATACGATCCTTGCGATTAAGAACTGCAAGCCAAGTAAGAAAAGAGTATTTTGGTGTCGCTTGAGAAAACAAGTACCATTCCTTGATTGGATGGCTTTGTCAACATTCAAGTTATCGATAACAAATTTAAGCTCGCTTTTCCCTTTTTTTTTCAGAAAATTTTGAAGACAACAAATAGAAATTATATATGTAAAATTCAAAAAAAAACACTTTACATACGAAACAGAGAAGATATGTGGGCACAAGTTGTTGTCTCTTGGCGTATCTTCCTTCTTTTTATCTGATAACCGGTTCTGATTACACCGGTTTAGCTCCTCTTGGCGTTTTTAAGATTACGTATTGTCATAACAAGCTGTTGTCTCTCCCCTTCGACTTCTGCAAATCTTAAACTTATCTCTGAGTATCTCTCTTGCATATCCTTCAGCTCCATCTCCATCGATTCATTACACTCTCTCAAAGATGCTACTTCCGCTATTAGAACTCGGATTTCTTCGTTTTCTTTCCCATTTAGAGGCTCATTGTCACTGATCTGTTTCATTGTGAAACAAAAGAAAAATAATAATAAGTTAAAAAAAATTTCTAATGTTGTTGAGTTGCAGATTTGATCATTTGATTATCTTTGTTTAACCTCTTTGGTATCCTGATTGAGTCCGTCGAGTTTGGTTTCCAGTTCCTCGATTCTGTTCTTCAAATTCCTTTCTTTTTCGACGAACATATTTGATGAAGCTTCAAGAGCGGTTTCCTTCAGTTTGATTTGTCCCTGAATCACAAGAAAAAAAGGGTTCATGAGCATATGAATTCTGTAACAAATACCGAATGTTTAGATGCATGTTTAATATACCTCGAGAAGTTTTATTTTGTCTTTCATAACACCAACTTCTTTAGTTCCGGCATGAGCTCCTACTGGACTTCCTTTGTTGTTGTTTCTTTGTCCGGTTTTCGTTAAGTTGTTAATTGTGGTTCTGCTTTCCTTTAGCTTCTTCTCAAGATTACTCATTGCTTCTTCTTTCTTCTTCAACTCACCTTTCACTTGTGCCACTTGCTTCTTGTTCTTCTCCATCTCCAAATCATTCTCTGATAAAGAATGCTTTAGATCATCATATTTGGCTCTTACAGTTTCTAGTTCTGATTGTAAGTATGTAACTTCTGCTTCTTTTTCATCCTTGAGAAGCTTCATTGCTTTCAACTCCTCTGCCAGAGACTCTGATTCTTTCCTCATCGATGCCATCTTGCTCTCTAAATCGTTTCTCTTCGTGTTCTCTCTCTGTAATGAAGCTTCAGCTTCCATAGCTGACTTTCTCGTCTCTTCCAACTCAACTCTTAGTTTCTCTGCCTGAAAAATGAGGTTGTCTTTGTCCTTTTTCACCTTCTCAATCTCATCTTTCAGGATTTTGATCTCTTGTTTTAATTTTGCGGTAACGTTTTCTTCACGCCTCTTGTGATTCTCTATATCAATGGATTTCTCATCGAGATTCTCCAGCTGACTTGTTTTGAAACTCAGCTTTTCAGATAGCTCGTGGAGCTTTGCCTCGTACTCGGCTTGGTTTGCTCGGAGCTCATCGTTAGCGTTCTTGAGCATTTCTTCTAGTTGACGTTTCTGCATACGTAGCTCGTTAGCTTCTGTCATTGCTTTCAAAGCCATTTTCTCATTTGATGAAAACATTGAATCCATCTGCTCAGAGAGTCTCTTGAATTCATCCTGTAGTTTTCCAGCTACACTAGCATTTTTCCACCTCGTCTTCCTCAGGGCTTCTTCCGCTTGGATAGCTCTTTGCTCTTGCTCCACTTTACCTCGTGTGACAGCATCAATATCTGCCTCAAACACCTGAGCCTGTTTCTCCATCTCTTCTTCCAAGTTCTCCATTTGTGTTTCAAGCTCTTTGATCCGGGACAAAGACTCGGAAAACTCTTCGGATTGCTTCTTGAGCTCAGCTTCCAGGCTCTCCACTTGGTTTTCAAGCTCGGTCACATTCACAAGCGAAGATGAACATTCGTATTGCATCTTCAACTGTTCTTGCAGCTGGCTCTGCTCCAGCTTGTATGAGATATCATGATTTTCCTGTTTTAGTATCTCATAATCCAGAGCAATCTGTTCCATCTGTATCTCAAGCTCATCTTTATCACGTTTATAAATCTCAATCTCACTACAGAGATCTGTGATCTTCTGCTCCAAGACGTGTGTATCTTTCGCATCCTTGTGTCCCTTCACGAGGTCCTCAAGTGCCTTTTGATCCTCATCTTCATCTCTCTCATTTCTACATGACCCTTTTCTTGATTCTTGAATGTCATCACAGGTTCTTGGTCTAGAAGAAAGATCAGCTACTTCTTTACTCTTTTCCTCCAGCATTGCTTCAAGATCTTGAACAGCAAGAATCAGCTCTGAGTTTGATTCCTGTGTCTTCTGGAGCTGTAACCGGAGATTGAAATTCCGATCCTTCTCATAATCAAGTTCCTCTCTTGTTTCCTCCAAAAGAACCCATGGATCCCTTCCTTCAAACTGTAACCTGTTCCTCATTTTAGTCTCTCCTCTCTGCTTTTCAGAGACTTTATGTGAATCTTCCTTCAACGAATCTCTCTCCTGCTTCAAGCTATTCACTTCTTTAAGGAGATCTTGACTCCTTTTGGTCTCTTTAACGATTTGCTTCCGCAAGCTTTGCAGCTCCAGCTCCGAAAGATCTGCTTGCCTTGTCAAACCAGCAAGCTCGTTTTTAAGCTTGTCTATCTCCTCCTCATCCGAAGACTTTATGTCCCTCGCGGTTGTATCATTGGTCGAGTCATCAGTGCTGATTCCATGATCATCAGAACTTCCAGACCACTCGGATTCTGATACACGAGGCTCTTCAAACAAGTTTTTAGCTGAAGGAAGATGCTTATAAGGAGGGAGTCTCAAACGAGTCAAAGACTTGGCAATTTCTTCAGGAGTGTTAGGCTCACAGACACTTCCAGAGCTTGACATTGTACTGTCAGATTCAATCGATGCTCTTCGTCTCAGTTCTGCAAACCGGGCAGCTTTACCAAAGGGCCCTTCCTATAAGAGAGCATAGACAATAGAAGTTAGAGAAAATCTAACTCCCTTGCATACACCAAACAAAAAGAAAAGACATCACATTAGATGGATAATCTTAATACCTCATGAGAATCCCTTTTATGAGTTTCATCTGCATCAGGTAGGCTCAAATGTGACTTCAAATCTTGACCCTGTGACAATTTCCCAAGATTCTCGCATTCATCCACCTCTCTGCAAGAACTCAGATATAGAAAAGCTATTTCCATCAAGAACCAAAACAAAAACTTGCAACAACCAATAGAGAGAAAAAAAAACAACAAAAAAGTGAGTCCAGTTTTCTGCACCTTTGAGGATCATCAAATTCTAATTGTCTTTGTATTGATACCTGAAAAAAGAAAAAGAAATTTTGAACTTAGTGTCACAAATCATTAATGAGACTAACATGTTTCAAACTTTAAGAAAAAAAAGAAAGAAAGAAAGCAGAGATCTTATGAGCTTTTAAGATGCAAACAGACTTAAATTCTGTCAAGACAAAACATCAATGAGAAGAGAGAAGAAAGCTAACATGCAACAATGCTTTTGAGTTTGAGTTCTGTAATGGAAGACAGACGTTACACGTTTTGATTGCATCAGCATAATCAGCAAAATCAATCGAAGTTTCTCCAACCAAACCAGCTCTTGTAGGTCCCTGCACACACACACACAAAATCACAAAAAAAAAAAAAAAACGAGCTATAAGAAAATCAGATCTTCATCGATCAATGTCTGCGATTTGTAATTTGTTTTTTTTTTTTAATATCCTCACCGTCGTTGACACAATGAGATGATAAATTCTCTGATTAACCTTGTCGGTTTTCGCATCCTTAAGAAATTTCACAGTCTCGTAAACCGGAATTTCCCACCGGCATTGCCCGTCGCTCACCACAGCTTTCTCTGACCTCGCCGTTGGTTTCCCAACATCTCCGGGAACAAGAGACAGAGTTAATCCCTCTGTATTGAACTCAGAAGCCTTGGTAGTAACCAAAAAAAAAAAAAAAAAACTTCAGTGCCTCAAATCAAAATGATGATTAAACTTATGCAGAAAAAAAAAGTAAATCCAAATTAAATAATTCTTAGCTAAGCAGAAAAAAACGGATTTCACTGTTCAGATTTTAAATTGAGATCAGTTTCTGGAAAATCCAAAAAAAAAAAAAAAATCAAAAGCAACGATTCTATCAATCAAAAGTAAAACTACACATAACCAACAAGAAAGATGGATTTCACTGTTCATATTTCAAAATGAAATCAGTTTCAGGAAAATCCAAAAAAAGAAGATATTTTGGCAGAAAAAACGATGATCAGTACCTGAGTCGCATGAAACTTCAACCTGAAGACGACTTTGATCCTGTTCTTCTCGCTACGCCATCTACCTGATCTAAACATCTCCGTCTCCGAGTATTGATCGCCGGCGAAACAGAGTTAGTTACTCACTCATCATTGCGCCGGGAAACAGCCATTACAACACTCCTTTAGTCAAATGTAGAGGAAATGATCAATCAAGAAGCGATTTTTTCAAAATCTAATCCTCCGCGCGAGTTGGCTCAGTGGAACGGAACGAGTTTGACTCAGAGAGAAAGCAAAGAAAGAAGAAGAAGAAGACGCGAACGTTAAGCTCGAGCGGTGGATTTTATATAAATGGGACCAAAAAAGGAAGTACAGATCTAAAAAGAGAGATTAGATAAATAAACAATTAGAGGGGAAAAAAAGATAAATAAACAATTAACATTAACAATAATCAAAGTACGATACGTTTTTCTTATAATTAATTAGCTTTACAGAATTACATTTCTTTAATCAGCTATATTTTTTGTTTGGTTTTAAATTCATTATTATTTTCTTGTATTTGTATAGAAAGATCTGTACGTTTTTATTATTTAGGAGTTAGCAAAAGTATATAGATCCATAATTTATTATTAGTGTTAAATATTGTGCTTTTATGACTTAAGTATCAGTAATTAAGATTGAGTAGATTGAAGAAGAAAATTCAACTTTTACATACATCAACGGGTTCGACTAGTAATTTTTTTTACGCAACGGTAAAATCATATACTGTTTTAACGATTATCAATCACAAAAATAAAAGTATTAAATGGTACTGCTATTATCAATTAATATATTTGTGATGTACTATAAACTGAATTGCTGTGGTATATTATAAAGTTATCAATCGAATCCAACAGAACAAAAATTTAGAACCACCATATATATTATATGTTTAAAATATATATATACGTTTATAAAAAATTGTTGGTTGCAAGTTGTAACCCTCTTAATATTTGTTTTGTATAACCAATCTGAAGAAATACATAACCAGTTATTGAATTCGTAAGAAAGTAAAATTGAAAAAAAAAACTATACAGTGAAAAAGCTTAAATATACAGTGATTTTATGAATTCTGTGTCATTTGGTTAAACAGTATAAACATTGCATAGTTAGTCTGGTGATCTACAAATAATACGATCATACATTTATTCTAAACCTACTCATATATCTATCTTATTTTCAAAAACAAAAAATAAGAGTTACCAGATTTACGTTTTTTTGTTTAATCTGGAACCATACAAACTAACTACAAAAGAGGTTAGCAGAAGAAGAAATAACTACAAAATATGGTTAGCTAGCTGGAAAATGGAAGAGGAAAATTGAGACAGAAGAAAAGAAAGTGAAAACTTTAAAGAAATGAAATTAAAATATGAAAACTAATCATGTATTAATATCGTACTCGATATTGAATCTATCTGAAAAAGGAGACGCTATATGTATTAATTATTATTTTAAAAAATAAACCGACAGATTTGGAGTAATAAAAAGCTGTTTGTTTTGGGACAAGGGAACAGTAATCCATACGCAATAAGAAACTACATGTCTGTCCTCCTACATATGTAAGCAATACCCGACCTTCTATGGGTATTATGGTAGTTGTATTGAATGGGATACAACTTACCAGGCCTGGTCCCGATAAACTAAAGATCCAACGGTCAACTTTGACTAAAAATTATTTCTATAATTATCGGAAATTTATCTTAATTTTTTCAAAACATTTGCTTAAAAACATAGGGGAGAAAATGATGTTTTAACCAAAAGAAAAAATATATTGCTTAGGCTAAGGTTTTTTCATCAACGAATCAATAAATGGCCTTATCCTTTACATCAAAGAAAAATGTGGAAACTTACATTAGATATCATATTGAGTATCAATTAATATATGAATTTTCAGAGATATAACAGTGTATTTTCTCTTTCTACTTTGCTGCAACAACTTATAGAACACAAATAGTTACATTACATCGTCATATTACGTTGATGCACTAGCGTTACGCGTTATTAAGTGAAATATTTTTCCCACCAATGTTTGAAAATTTCGACTGACCTAGCTAGATTCAATTTAAAATCCTCAATTTAGACGTGTGTGGGGATACCCTGGCCGATCCATCTACAAGTCAATAAGTCCTGAAATAAGAATTACGAAAAAAAATTTCTCAGACATGGAACATGCGAATTCATCGAAGTTTTGGGACATCAAAACAATGAATGAATTTGTGTTGTACTGTCCACTTTTGCAAACAAATATTACATTTTAAAATTATATATTTATAATTTCTATCGCGGGTATAGCTAAGCAAGCTGTATATTTTGTTAGCTTAAATTTAAAAAGGAAAACAAACAAATTATGACTTTATTATTTTTATTATTACCCAGAGGTAGGTCCATCGAGATCCTGGGAATGAAAAGGTATCCTATGTGTGTTATTGTATAATCTAATTACCAATAATATGTATAATATTTTTACAAATGATATACTAAGAGTAAATAAAAAATAATAATAAAAAGAGAAGAGAGATGAAATGAGTCCCTCATTTGAGAGTTTTTCAGAGATTTATGAGAGATTCTTGAGTCTATTTGTCTCATTCTTATTGATTTATTTTTTAAAAAATAAATTTTGTTAAAAAAATTAAACTTTATCAAAATAATAATATGTTTTGATGAGAGACTCAAAATGAGTCATGGTCTAAAAGGAATACCGTATGGCGTATGATATGTTCCCGTTCTCGATAACTTATATATATAGAATCAAGTATTTCCATTTTCTGTAATTGATTTCATTTGGCTCAAACTACAGACTACTCAAAAAAAAATCTATCACCACGAAATTTTGAATTTTTTAAAATTATTTTAACCATCATGAGTTGAGCTAGCTAAATTACTAGATATATATATATATGTATATGTTACATATATGTTCATTAGTCATATGATACATTATAATTTATACAAAATAAATTCTGTTAATTGCTCTTGCTTTTCCATTTTCTCAGGTAATGACCATAAAAATTAAACGTGACGTATATATGTACATACGCATGCACATTATATTTAGGAAAAAATTTAGATTCATTTTTAAAGGTAAATTCATTCATTCACCTCCGCTCATTTTATCCAATGAAAATTTGCTATAAAATATTGTTTTAAAATAAAATATAAGATTAAAATTAAAAAATCAAAATACTTAATCAAATAGTTTATTTAAAAATATATAAAAAATAAATAATGTATATAAAATTAAAATTTAGAGTTTAGTTTTTTTTTTAAGTTTATAGATTATGATTTAGAGTATAAAAATTAGTAGAATTTAAGATTTAAAGATTAGAATTTAGGAATTAGGGTTTAAAATTCTGAAAATAAAATATTATGTAAAAATATATATTTATTAAAAATAAATATAAATAAAATTTAATATTATGTTTGAGTTTACTATTTCCAATTTAGCGTTTAATTTTTCTTTATTTAAAATTTAGAAAATAAAACAAATAATTATATAAAAATATATTTTTATTAAAAATAATTCTACATAAATTTAAATTTATGCTTGAGTTCACTATTTTTAAATTAGGATTTAGTTTTTTCCATTAAAAAAAATATTTAAAATATGTTATTTTGATAAATTATCTTAATTGATTTTATTATATGGTAGATTCTTGTTGAGTAAAATGCAAAATGAAATAAGGTGAATGAATGAATTCATCCTTAAAAGTAAATCCAAGAATTGTTCTTATATTTATATGTATCAATGTATGTATCTGTATATATATACTATATAGTATATACCATACATGCGAACATTACACGCAAAACACTTATATAAAACCAAATTGGGTAGTCTTGTAACGAGATGGTTTGGTTAAAACCGAAAAAAAATGGTTTGGTCGAGTGTGTATGAAATAACACTAACGACAATAATACGTATCCGCCTAACTTATATACGCGGATACGCCACAGGTACAACCCCCATTATTTACCAAACAATACATAATATTATTAATATAATCGATTTTGTATATGCATTTCATACTGATGCATGACAAATATAAAATAGAAATATATAATTACCGAGGAACTACGATAAAAATAAATAAATGAGATTGTTGGCTAGCAAGTAAAAATGGAATATATACTACGTAGAATTTTTGTGAATAGAAACCATTAAACTACATTCTTCTCTTATAATTACTATGCATATGTACACGTTTATTATTGGTGTGATTTTATAATTACTATGTACATGTTTATTATTAGTGAAAAGGCTAATATAGTTGCAATATGGTCCTTCGATGGTACAAAAAGTAATGGTTCTTTAACACTTTGTTTGTTCTGAGGAGCTTACTTGGCTTTGAAATGAAATTTACCAACTGCTTTAGTTGTTCTTTAGACAGAACTTCACACGTGCCACTCATGCGTGCCTACTCATACATCATTTTTTTTCTTCTCTTGCTTAAAAATTGATGATGCTCACAAACAATATTCAATAATTATGTCTGCATTTAAAAAAAAAATTTAATTATGTCTGCATTTGTAAATTGTAACAGGAATAGGATAACAAGGGAAGAAAGGTGAAAAAATTATACTGATAATAATAAATATATTGTTTTAATCTTTTAAATATATAATAAAAATGAAATTTACATTTGTGTATTTAATATGTATGTAAATAATCTAAATTTTTGATAAATTAATATGTGTGCAACACTTTACAAATACATTACATTTTGCTACAATTTATTATAAATATTTGTTTTTTGTCCTAGTATTTCCATTTTAGGGTTAAATAAAGTCACGTAAGCTGTCTCAACCCCCAACCTAACTTCTTTATGCAAAGTACAAACATCTCTCTGTCTCGCGCTCTCTCTCTCCCTAATTTTAATCTGACATCCTAGTTCATAAGTTTAGTTGACGTCACACCCTTTTTTGTTTGTTTTCTCTTTTCAAATTATTATTTTTTTGCTTAGTAATTAGGAATTTAATAACATTTAATATTCTTCTGCAAAAAGCAATAAAGAAAAGAAAGATTTTATTACTACTATAATGATAACAATGCAGATTGAAAAGTGTTGAGTCAAAGACCCATGCTCCTAGTGAAATAAAGGGTTCATGCATGGTCCTAACAAATTAATCGGTTTCGAAACAATATTTAGATAATTCTCCGCATTTTCTACATATTTATATGATAATGTAAATACAGACACACTCATATATAAAATATAACCAAAGCAATTGGGTTAAACTATTTTCTG